AGTTCTCATTTGTGTTTTGAAATCCCAAATTAATGAGCATGATAAACTGTTATTGCTGGCACTGGCTTTACCCCAAGTGGCACTGTCTGACTCTCTACTCTGAGTCCTTGGTGGGTCCCCCCAACCCTCCCCTAATCCCCACCCTTTCCCTTTCCATTGACTTGGGACAGCCCTTGTCGACATGCCAATCACAGTGGGAAGAGAGGCGAAGGGGGGAGGTCACAGTGCATGGGGTTCAAGGTCACAGTGGGCGGAGCAAGGGGGATCACAGTGCAAGTAAGTCAGGTCGTTCCCTCTGCTCAAGTCCAGCTGTCTGCCACGGCAGTGCAACCCGTGGCGGACGACCCAGGAGGCGGTGACGGCGGAAGCGGCAGCATCCTCTCTTGCCTGCATTTATCTGCGCTGTTTGAAGCCTTGTGACCCATCAGGACCCAAAGGCTGTCTGATCACATTATTGGGCTGCCTGCTGTCTTCGGGTTGGGAGATCCTGGTTGGCCTGAAGGGAAGAAGACAGAGGAAGGCCTGAAGAAGGATATAAAAGATGTCCCCAATCTTAAAACCAACCATCCTTGCAGCTGAGGCAAAAGTCACAGTGGCTGTCAGCCAACTCTGGCTCCACGAGTCCGCCTCTTTGGCAGGCAGACTCAGGGCATCTCCAAGTTGGGAGGTCCCCGTGGGCAGGTGGGGCCAGCAGTCCATGGTCACTTCTAGGAGCTACAGCATTCTTACCCCCAGGTTGGGTCGCCATCATTCATTTGTAGGTAGGAGGAGTGCTCAAGGGCCCGTTCTGTCCAGAGGAATGACCAAGGACAGCACATCCTCCACAGAACCATGTGGCACAGACTCTCCAGAATGTCAGGCCAAGGTAAAGAGCCCTAACCAAGAGCTCAGCGGAGGGACATGTCCCCCACCATTTCTACCTTCCTGCCTTTCTCTCCAAACCATGTGGTTACAGGTTGACTCATATTACTGTAGAACACTAAATAAAGGAAATGTAGTTTTTCCACTACAGAAAGGTAAAGACTTAGAGGAGAAACAACAGAGATAACAAATATCCCTTCAAAATTATGAAGGGACATGGCTGGGTGTGGTGGCTCACACCTGTAATCCTAGCACTCTGGGAGGCTGAGGTGGGAGGATTGCTTGAGGTTAGGAGTGCGAGACTAGCTTGAGCAAGAGCGAGACCCTGTCTCTACTAAAAATATTAATGGAAAAAATTAGCCAGTGTGGTCGCGCACGCCTGTAGTCCCAGCTACTTCAGAGGCTGAGACAGGAGGATCGCTTGAGCCCAGGAGTTCGAGATCGCAGTGAGCTATGATCACACCACTGCACTCTAGCCAGGGTGACAGAGCAAAAATATCTCTCAAAAAATAAATAAATAAAATTATGAAGGGACAGAAAGTACACAGATTAGTTAAGTACCAGAATACCAAGCCAAAGAGGCCCCTCAAAGTTAGAAAGAGGACCTCTTAACAAATACTAACTTTACCAGGAAGTGACAAACTTTAATAATGCGACCGCTAGTATTACAGAGAAAAAAAATGCCAAGAATAAGAAAGAACTTAGAAAATTCACGAAGCATCACAGTAGGCTATTGGAGACCCAGGAGGTAACACAGAAGTACTTAATTGGGCACTTTCCACTGCCAGCAAGGGTTCTCAGCACCCTGTGCTCATTTACTCACTGACCTACACACCAACTTGATAAGGTAGGTACTATTATTATCCCATTTTTCAGATTAGGCAACTAAGGCCCAGAGAGAGGTTAAGTAGTTTTAAAAAGAGGTAAGTGGCTGACTTTGACTCAAAGTCCACGCCGTTAACCTCCAAGCAACACTGCCCCCTGGTGCCTGCGGAGGCAGCATGCCAGCAAAGCACTACCTCCTCCAAGCACCTGCAGGGCTTTCAGAGCAGTCCCCAGCCAATGCTCAGATGGAACTAGCCCCAGCAGGCTGGGGTTGGCAGCTGGAGCCGTGCAGGCTCCTGCCCTGATTCTGCTTGCTTCTTGCTCTCTCTGTGTAGCCAGGTTGTGCTCCTCCTCCTCCTAGGGGAGGACTGGTGCAGTGGGCACTGGCCAGCCCTGCCAGCTACACTCACCTGTCGAGGATGGGTTTCTCCTGCTCCTCCTCAGGGCTGGCACTGCCCAGGATCCGCTTCCGGGCCTCGGCGTACTCTGCCTCCCGCTGGGCTAGGGACTTGACCGGAAGGGCTGGCCTGCTGGTGGAGTTGGGGCTGCTGACCACACCGTTGCTGGTGGGCCTCTTGAGGATGCGGATCTGTGGAGGGGGCCCCGTGGGAAGGCTATCGTCCTGAATCACAATGGGCACTTTGGGAGGAGATTTGGATTTCCTGCTGACAAAGAGCAAACACAGCTTCACAAATCCTACCCTGACTATGGAGGCCCCGTCCATGTCCCATACCCACCCTCGTCACTTTCCTCTCCCTCTCCCACTAATTCTGTTCATTATTCTCTGGCCTCTGACCAGACAGCGAAACTCCCACTCCTCAAGAAGGGTTTCTCGAAAAACCAAGATTCCACCAGCTCTGGCAGTCCACAGGAACTGTTCCTCAGCCCTAACCCCTGGCCAAGGGGGCTGGAACACCACCTCATTCTAGGACTTCTATCCCCATGTTGATCACAGTAACATCAACCACCGTTTGGCCCCTATGGCAAAATATTTCACGTCCAGAATCCAAAAACTTCAGTTAAGACCCCAACCTCCCTATACAGACCAGAGGATGACAAGCTGGTGAGATGGGGGCTTAGTAAAGTGTCCGTTCTCAGCCAAGTCCTTCCATCATGTGCTAAAACCAGTCAAAATCTACAAAGGAGCCTGCTATGCCATCCCTGCCTGGCATCAAGACAGGATTTACCAAACTGCCTCAGCCTTCTGGTGAGAGTGACCTGTGCCTCCCAGAGACAAGCTACACCACACAATTGAACTGCCTCTTCAAAAGAGCTTCTGAACAGAGAAACCTCCCTCACCAGGGCTCTCTGGTGTGTCGGACGGCGGCGGGGCTGGCGTGAAGGACGATCCCAGAAGCAGTGCTTGGCAATGCTCAAAAGAAAGGCATTGTCCAAGGCTGCTGGACGTGCACATCAAGGCAATGTGTCCACAGGAGAAGTGGAATTAACAAAAAAAAAAAAAAAAAAGAGGGAAAACAACACAGGAAGGGAAAGAAACAAAAGCCACAAGAGGAGAAAGAATCCCAGGTGGGAATGGCCACCACGAAACAGCCACCAGGACCCTCCCCAGAGCAGTCAACTAGTTTTCCTTCAGAACCAAACAAGTCCACAGGGGCCTGTTTTCAGACCCTTAGTTGTCAGGAGGGATAAGGACTAGAGGAACTAACTAAACTGCTGCCAGGATGAACTGGAACAAGTCCTAGGGGGACAGGAATGACACGGAAGGGGGACTGTAACCAGGGCTTACTGTAGTTGCTGAGACGAGCAGACAGACAAGGAGCCAGGAAAGCTAGCGGGTTGGCAAACAGGTTACCTAAGCCCAAAGACAGAAAGCTTAAGTCAACTTTCGCCTGCTCTGGAAACTCACTTTCTCTGCTGTCTGGGTGGGGAACAAAACTATCCCTTAAAGGTCTTTTCAAGAATTTCCCAGAGTCTATTACTCCAGGATACCCTCACAAGACTCTAAACCACCAAGTCACTGGGGGCCCAGAGAACTCATCTGGCCTAACTCCTTATGTCAGAGAAACCTGCCCCAAACCTCAGAGCAACTGGGGGCACAGCCAGGGCTAACACCCAAGTCTTCCAACCTGTCACCTCCCCGCTTTCCATCAGACAACCTCACACAGGGGGCCCATAAAGGCTGAAGGCAAGTGCAACACCCCAGCCTCACTCCCAAAGCCTCAAGCCACCATGTCATGGTCTCCAACTTGGAGGGATGGGTCCGCTGCCCAGGAGCCTGACCTGCTACACCTAACGGCCAGCTGGAGAACACCACTAACTGCCCAGCTCTCAAACAGATGAGAGCACGAGTCCTCAGACCAGACAGCAGCCTTACCTCTCCTTTTGTGTGATCTTCAGTTTTTTTTCCAACCGTCTGTCTATTTCCTAGAGGAAAAAAATGTATATAAAAAGTGGAAAAAAATCTCTCTTAAATAAAAACTTATGTCTCTATTTTCAGAGCAAAGGGCAGTGCCCTCTCTCTAGCCAAGGACATGACTGTGTCCTTCAAGGTAACGGATATGGACTAGACTCTGGGGCCATCTCCCTTCTATCCCCATGGCCGCCGCGATAGTGAGACTTCATTGTTCAGCTGGGTTCTTCGCAGAGTCTCCAACTAGTCTCCTGGCCTCCAACCTGTCCTTTACAGAGCCACTCAAATCAACTTTCTAAACATAAATTTGATCGTGTCACTTCCCTACCTGGGACTCTTCAACTGCTTGCAGGACCAAATTAAAGCTGCTAAATGAGCCTCACCCATACCTTCTTTTATCTTCTGTTCCTGTTTTGCTATTACTAACCCCCAGAACCCAGTGTGCTGTTCCACCTGCCTACAATGTCCTCTCCCCTTGCAAACTGCCATTTATCCTAGAAAATCCAGCTTGGATGTCTGCCTCTCCTTTGTAAAGTCTTCTCTGCTCCTCAGGGATAAACTCTCCCTTTTACATTCCTTCATGGTCACATGTATCAAATATTTTATCATCTATTTTCTACTGTTACGGACTTGAGCTCAACGTGACTAACATCTAACAAAAGACCTAGAGTAAAACAGAAGCCAATGTTTGAGGAACTAGAAGTCCACAGTCCACAATGAACACTGGGGGGATCTGAAGAAGAGACAGGAACCCCAAGAGCACAACATGGATTTCACTCAGAACCAGAGCCTGATAGGTCCTAATTAACACAAAGCCACCATTTTATAAAAAGCAAAGAAAAGCAAGAGGCTGAGAAGGAGCAGCAGGCAGAACTACCTTCCAACACGGTCTGGCCCTGGACTCCCACCACAGCAGGCCAGTGCCCACGTTGGACCTAACCCCCTCGAGTCTTGGGTGGGATGTCGGCGCTGGTGGCAATGTGAGCCCACAGGCCCTCAGCACAGGAACTCTGTGGCGCCTCCACACACTCCTGTGTGAGCATCCACACGCTGGACGAGGGTGTGGGGAGAAGCTGTGCACAGGGCAAAGACCAACCCCCAGGCTTCTTGGCTGTCCCACTCACTCATTTTCCGTGAGGGCAAGACCATCTGGCTACTGGAGAAGGGAGAAATTGTATGCAAAATTATATTTTTCTCTGAAGAGAAGGTCTATAACAGTGGTTCTCAACAAGAGTCAGTTTGGCCCCCCAAGGGACATTTGACAATGTCAAGACTTTTTTTTTTTTTTT